TCACACAAACCCTTATGCATCTTCACTCTTCAACCAAATTTTGCCACATCTAAATGGCTCCCTCGTACTTTTGAATGATGTCAATATGTGTGTCTTTTTTTAGTTGTTAATAGCTTGTTGGAGAAGTTTTCTGTTTTTTGCGTAATTGTCGTTACAGATGCATTGATCAATTTCATTTCCTAATAGCGAGACAATTATTGAACTTTTTTTTCGGATCACGGGACCTCCTTCTAAGCTGATTCTTTGGTCAGATGAGCTCATATTGAGGGTTCCTCTTGAACGTACACATCACTAGCCTGCTCATAGAAAAATACCTTCCGCTTTGGATGGACGGCCAGCAGAAACGACAGAGGCAGAAAATGAAGCGAGGAAAAGACCGGATAGGCAAAAGTGAGAGGCAGATGGATGGAACGGAAGGAAGAGGTGGAATGAAAAACCCCTTGAAATGGGTGATGAGTTAGTGAGAGACAGAGATGGAGTGAGGAAAGAAAATGAAGAAATACAGAGTTGATGAGTGAGGAAATGATGAATGGGCTGAAAGAGAGACAGATGGTGCGGCTCCATCACAGTTTTGTGGCAGAAAAATGGGGAGAGTAAGTAAAAGAGAGACTACGAAGCCAAAATGATGATAATTATGACGACAATGACATAGAGACACACACACACACACTGAATAAAGTGCCCAGAGGCTGGAGTCATCCTCTTAAATAGATTTCACATTAGAAATACAGCATTTGTAATAATATAAATATTAGCAGTAAAACCCTTTGGCTCATGTTACGAGGACTCAAACAAGAGAGAGATTTAATAGAGCAAATGCAATAAACCCATGTGTCACTTCAGCATGTGTTTCTGTACACTTGTGCGTGTGTGTGTGTGTGTGTGTGTGTGTGTGTGTGTGTGTGCGTGTGTGTGTGTGTGTACCTACACAATAATTATGAGAGGTAAAATGAAGGAAGGAAATAAGACGGAGAGGTTAAGACTGTTTCCTGGACGTCTAAATGGAGGAAATTAACTGATAATGTGAATGAAATTCATGAATGTCAGAAATCTAGAGACCCTTTGAATGATTTTCTGCAGAAGCTGCAGTTTCAGTTATTTAGTTATTTGAAAGAAGACACTCAGTGGCAAATGTTGGAGACTCGCATAAAAGTTAATCTTGGCTAAAAGACGGATTGACAGTTTCACTATTTAGTTATATTACAAATATTTAAGTTAAAAAGGTTTCCATGGTTACAATAATGAGCTGTTGTGGTCATGGTTAAAAGAAACAATGGGAAACAAACGGTGGTCTCCAGTGTTTAGTTGTCCCATCCACCCAGGCTTTCTCCCAGTGTGGACTTTGTTGCTTCGTATCTACGCCACCTGACTTCGTCTTTTCCTCCTGTCATAATTACTACGGCCACAATAGGCTGTTGTCACTCGGAGGTAAACATGTTGTTTTGGGGTGTTTGTTGAACAGACTGATGCAATCTCACACGATGTTAGATGTTGCAGAAAAGTGTAACTGTATGACTTATGAGGTTGTTTTTTTTTTGTTTTTTTCGTGAGGACAGTCTTGTTAATTAGCAGGTAGATTTTATTACCTTTGTGCAGAGCCAGGTTGTTTCTTTATGCTAAACTAATCTGCGGCTGCTCGTAGCTTCACATTAAGCATACAGATGTGAGAGAGGTGCCATTCTTCTTCTCTACCTCTCGCCAATAAAGCGAATTTCCCAAAATTAAAACACAGTGTCTTTAGCTTTAAATGTTGAGTTAATTTATACTCGTTAGTGACATTAGTGATAGTTCTTTCGGTTTGTCTGGTTTTTCTTCATTGTGATATGATGGCATGATGTGCTGAACTGGATTTTGAACCCAAGAAGAAAATACTAGTCTCTGTTTCGATAAAGCTAATGAAAATCCTAATCGATTAAATTAAATTAGATTAAATGGAAAATCATGTAATGATTCTGACATGCGCCTCCTCTTTAAAAGACATGGAGTTCACACAGTGTTTACACAATTTGTACTTCAAACTCTGACAGAGGCATTCAGGAGGTGAATGTCATCTAGATCTTTCTTTCTTTATTTTGATTTGTGACGCACAGTTACATCACACACACTTTAATTAGCCTGATGTGAACCTCACAATCGAAAAGTGGAATTTTGTCCAACAAATAAATCAATTCCTGTAACACTTCACTTGTCCCCTTATGTAGTCTGTTTGTGACGTCAGCACCTAGCATTTGGTAACCCTCCTCTGCCGGTCTTATTCTGTTAAACTAGAAAACACTCACACACACACACACACATGCAGCCATAATGGAGCAATTATCCTCTCTAGCTCCGATCTGCTCTTCTGATTGTAATTTGCATTTATTATTAGCCTTCAGCCTGCCAGAGGCTGTGAGGCGTGAGGACGGCTCGTCATACACCACATCACACTGATAGACCTGCACAGATGCTTCATAAACACGTGTGCCCGAGGACACAGCAACACGAGCCCACACGCACATACAAACCAACATATATGCACCACGGATGAAGTCATGACAGCATGATGTTGCTTCATTTTGTTAATGCTGATCCCTGTTAATGATGCTACAGTGGGAACAGTATGTTCAGTGGCGTTCCATCACAGAAGTACATGCTTCACACCGTGATGTCTTGAAGGGCTGCGATGTGTCTTCCTGTCCCATTTCTTGGTCTGTGTTCTCTTTGACTGTGGAGATGGCCTCAGGGCTCATCATATGGAAATTTGTGAGAAGCAGAGTCTCTCCGGGCACATACACCACATACAACCCGCCAGCCCCCTAAAAGACTCGCTCACTGCTGCTCACGCACACACACACATGCTCATACATGCACACAAAGAGAATGTGCGGAGGATCAGTGAAGCGTGAAATGATTCTGTTATCATGTCGTCTGTGTGGAATATATTTTCCCATCAACCTTCTATGGCAGGTGTGCCTGTGTGTGCCTGATGGGCTACTGTGTGTGTGTGTGTGTGTGTGTGTGTGTGTGTGTGTGTGTGTGTGTGTGTGTGTGTGTGTGCATTTTGTGGCTCTCTCTGTCAGTCTGTTGTTTGGCAGAATGGAGGGAGGGCTCCATTAAAACACGGACAGAGTGTCAGAGCAGCTTTCGAGCTGCATGTTCCACCTTGCTGTTTGACATTTGACATCAAGAGGCCGACTCATTTGCTAAATTGCTGTAAAATCAGATCTTAAATGACTGATGGGGTCAGGGAAGATGTTTCAGATACTGGCAGAAGTGAACCCATTTACTCCATTTTTTGATATTAATGAACTCTATACGGGTCCGTAAAGGCCCTGTAAACTGAGCAGCGGGGATGAAACATGACATGAGAGATTTCGGTATTTTTTGTTTTGTCTGTACTCCTCTCACTGGTTGGGAGTGTGTGGGAATCAGTGATGTCACATTTCCATGCACCAATCACAGCTCGGCAACAACTGTCATGAACATATGATGACAGTTGTTGTGTTGTTTGCTTGTGTTGTCAGCATTGTCAATCAAATATGATCAAACCACACCCACAGACTTGACTCTTAAACTCATAATAGATTGTAGTCACTTTTTTTTTATATATCAAACTTTACCTCTTTACCTTTAATTGTTGCCTATTTAGTGATGAATCTTTAATGTTACAGAGATAAGCTGTATTAAAATATATGCTGAATAATACCTTTACATACAATTTCCCCCTTCCCTTTTAAATAGCATTCCTCATTGAAGCTCCATGACGTTTACGTGACAAAAGTCAAGTCTTGAGCTGATGAGAAAGTCTGAGGAGACAGACCATCAGACAACAAAGACATGACATGATAGCATGAATTCTTTTAGACTAAATACTCATTGCTAATTGTTAAGATATTCCCTTTGAACATCTATTTCTTTGGGTTTCTTCTGCTGGTGCAGTTTCAAGGCAAACTTTTCTCTAGAGATCGATTGTCTCCTTTCACACTCTTAAAAATACACACAGTCGACTCACATATGCACGTGTACACGCGCACTAAAAAACACTCATGCACACGCTTTAGTGGCATGTTGATGTGCATGAGAGGAGGCATCCGGAGGGAGCGCTCAGTCTGAGCGCCTTGACTGCACTGCCTAATTGATGTGTGCTTCCCTGTGTGAGAGAGACAGAGTAGGGGGTGAGGCATCCACATGTAACAGTCCAAACTAACCTCACCTTTCTCTAAACAGTGCCTTAAACTTTGGCAGGAAATGAACAAGCCTGTCAATCATGTTCTAATTTAGGCTCTGCAGGAAGTCAGAGTCTTCAATCTGTCAGTCTGACAGTTCATATCTTCCTGAGATTTTAAGACAACCGTGAAACAAGATAGCCAAGTCCTGAGGAGACATGAACCTATTAACTACACGCACAATACCTCCATCCTCACATCCTCTCACACTCACACACACACACACACACACACACTCACACACACACACACATCAACACACACACATAAACACACAAATTCAAGACTGAGGGCAGCTCTTTCGATGTACGCGCAGCTAATGTAGCAGTAACAGCTACTTATTGGATGAAATATGGCTGACATGGAGGGTGGACAGAAACAGCTAGGCTATGTGTTAAAAGGACCTGGAAAATCTCTCCTTCTTTTAGCTTTAAAATGCTCAACAAAACTTTCTGTGCATTTAAAGACATTTTTGGTGGCTGTTTTATTTCACAAATGAGGCAGCCAAAATGACTTTAGACTACTGTTGCAAGCTGAAGGGGAAATAGACAGCAGTGTTGATATTAGCATGTTTTGATGTTTAATCAAATATTAAGACATTACATGTATGTAGAAAACGTTTTATAACACCTGTTAAAGAACAAATTGTTACTCATTACTCAAATTCAGACTGTCTCTGAGCTGGTTAGTGTCAATAGTGGCAAAATGTCGGACAGTCCTTGAAGGCAGCATTGACTCGTAAGTTGGTCCGTCGCTATGGTAACGCTTGTTTATTTCCCAGTTGCGTTGCAACCATCGTCTATCTCACTGACGGCAGTTAGCGAACTCGCCTAAGCTAACATAACAAGAAATAGTCAGAATTTCAAATATAAGGTCCGGAAGTTGCAAATACTATATTTTCCTCCATGAGCAGGTGAGCCATGTGTAATCTTATCAAGGCAAGCTATTGTTAGTACACTAAATACAGTTAATGAAGGCTAACAAGTAATGTAACTTTACTAGCTACTATGCAGATGAATTAAAAAAAGCGTTAACCTTCTTAATTACGTTCCTGTGCCAATGACCAATGGTGTAATATAACTAAGTACATTTTCTCTAGAAGCTCCTGTACTTGAGTATTTCCTTGAATAATTTATGTTAACATAACTTTACTTTGTACTCCACTTGGTTAGCTAGCTACATGGAGGCAAATATTGTACTTTGTAATGCACAAACTACATTTATTTGACAGCTTTGGTTTATAGCAACGTTGCAAATTCAGATTTATTAATCAACTAATAAATTATGATGATGATGATGATGATAACGTTAATTTAAGCTACCCTGCAATATTTTAATTAGTTTAAAATGAGCCCATCTTTGGCAGTTGCAACACTAGTGATGTTTACACATGAATGCATTATTAATTCAACTTCGATTATTATTATAATTAGCAAGATATGGGCCATTCTGCATAATGAGCACTTTTACTTTAGGTACTTTAAATATGTACTTGTATCACAGTATTTCTGCGCTGTGATATTGCTACTTGTACTTGGGTAAAAGCTCTGAATTCCTGCCCCATGCTTTAAATGCTTTCTCCGCTGTAATTTGATGTCCAGGTTAGAGTGTTTGGGGAAATCCTTCAGTGGTTCCCAGAAACAGGTAATGTCTGTCTACATTATGTTGGTTTTTCTTATGAATTATATTGTTCACATTCATTGTTGCTGTTCGCAACTCACTTTATGACTTTGTTTTGTTTGTTACACACTGCTATGAGTGGGTCACATGTTACCCCTCTACATATTCAAATAAAATTGTATGAATATTCTAATTGGTTTATTTTTTAACTCACCCCCCGGATGTAGCTGGCAGTGGAAGTCACCTCTGCTCAGGCTGAGACTCACAAAGTCAATGGTAAGAAGTAATTCAGACTGCAAGTCAGTGCACAAAACATCACATGTAGATTCATTTACATGTTGAAGCCTGAAATGACAAGATTTCCACTGTATGCTTCTGGTGGTCATTAGCCTTTCAGGGCAAACTCATTCTCTTGATTATGATGTTCTAGGCACAATTGGGAAAAAGACAGTCACTAATAAACCTTGGTAAGAAAATAAGAAAAATCCCATCTTAGGAAACTTACATTTCAGTCATAGCACACCATGCTCATCGTCTACTTGTTTTTTTTCCATCCAGCAGGAGTCTTCCTGCCCGCACACTGCCTTGTTCCGTACAGGTGGGTATTCTGAGATAGATTACACCATAACTGAATTGCATCACTATTACACAACTATTCTTTACATTTTTTTTTTATTCTTTAGGTTTCCGGCAAGGAGACTCAAAAGCCTAAATCTCCAAGTCGGGGTGTGCTGAATACAGAAGGTACTCTGAGACTGAGGAAGAACTAATCTCATTGATACTATTTCACATAAGAAATCCATGGCTGCACAGGCAGAGATAATAATTTTTACTCAAAGAGCACCCTCAAAAGACCAAAATGCTATGCAACTATAGGAGTGACTCACGCTTTATCTTGAATAAATAAAGTCACTTCCTTTGTCATTGCACAAAGCCACTAACTGTTACAGAGAAAGGCTGAGCACACCAAAAACAAATAATACAATAACACTTGGTCATAAAATCTGTATTCTAATTTTACCCTTAAATCTTGTCAGCATTTGGTTTTATTTACACTTACTCTGCATTACCTGCTTTAAATTGTTTCATAATCTTGAGATGCTCTTTGCTATCTGTGTCATTTTTCCTTATCATGTCTCCAGACAGCGAGTTTAATGTTTTGTTTACTTTATATCACCAGACTAGCTCTGTTTGCAAGTGATTAACATCATATACTATCTGCTGTGACAAAAAATGACTTGAAGTCACTGCAAGTAAAATTAAATGTCTTGTGTGTCTTTGTTTTTCTTGTAGATTGTTCTCCAAAGGAATCCATCAACATAAAACCAAGGTCTGTACTCAGAGTTCGCGTCATACAGTAGGTGATTAGACCAATGAAACGTCCCCCAGATCCAGTTTTAAATTTCCAACATGATTTCAGGGTTGAAGAACCAGCAGAGTCGACTGCAGCACCTGATGAAGAGCTGAAAACGAAAGACTCGAGCAACTCGCGGTCGTCAGATTCAGCAGGAATAGGTTGGTTGTTGTAGAACAAAATGCAAAGTAAGAAACGTAGAGAGAGAAAAACTGATGACAATGATCATGGTTGCCAGGAGGAAGGACACATGCTCCTCCACCAGTTGAACCTGTCTCCATGCATGAGCCAAATGAGGAGGAAGAACAGACAAAGGAGGACGATGCTGAGGATGAAGACCTTAAGGCCCCAGTGGAGCTGAAAATTGAGGTAAAGTGACCAATGATCATCATTGATTCCACATTTGATGCTCTGTTGAGAGAATAGCTTCAACTGTAGCTGTTGATTTTTGTGTATTTCCAAATGTTTTGAGAAAAATTAAAAAAAAAAATGAAACTCAGGGGAGGATGTTATGGTTTCAGTTCCTTGGAGCTTTGATGGACAAAGACTTTCAGCTGGCCCACAAGCTGTGCCAGATGAGTATGTACAGTATCCTGCATCCATCAACTTTGTGTCTGTCAGTCAATAAATCACCCACCGGTGAAGTCAGCCAGTGGTGACGCTTCTCTCCTCATTCCAGTTCTCATCCATGAACCAGACAATCCTGAGGCCTCTGAGTTTCTCCCACTGATCCACAAGAAGCTGCTGGAGGGTGAGAGCCCCCCCCCCGCTTCATATAAACACAAACATGCTGCAGATTCCACAACACACCATGAATATGTGTAATACCTTTTCCCCTAGAGCAAGAGGCAGAGCAGAGCAATGAGGAAGATGATGAAGAAGAAGATAGTGATGATGATGATGGTAACTCTGGAAGTGATGAGGAGTCCTCTCAGAGCTCAAGCTGCTCCTCCTCATCTCGCTCCTCTTCTTCATCATCAGATGATGATGGTGAAAAAGAGGAGACGCAAGTGAACAGACACAAGCCGTGTCCTCCTTCTCACATTTCCCCCTAAATCTATTGAAGCGATCCAGCAGAGGCGCACAGATCTTTGTTACTTGTTTCTTGTTACTTTTTGAAAACGATACTCGATGTTTTAATCCACAAAGTCTTTGTGCATTTTGTAGATTTGACAGTTATTTATTTTTTCATATTTCACCTGCAGATAAAATATTTGTTGTGGACAAAGCAGGTGCCTTTGTGACTTGATCAGTTATGACCAGTTAGTGTGTCCCAGCAGACTGCAAAGACTGCATGTCTGCTTTCAAATGCCTCACTTCTTCTGTTCAGTTTGCTTTGAACATGTGCATTGAAATAAATCACTGCAGCTTTAATACTTTTGTCAGTAGAACTAAGATGACCAGTCGACTGGTTGTATTAGTTGATCAACAGATATCTTTTTTCAAGCAATTAAGAATAAACATAGTGAAAGCTGAACTTTGATTTCACAAAAAAACAAACATTTTTTATTGCTGTATCTCAAATCAGATACTTCAGTCAGTTCACTCAGACGTAGTACACTATGTACACAGTATACTCAGTTGTAGTGCGAGAATTTCAACAGGGTAGTGTTGTCTCAAATCAAATGATGAACGCAACAGGTTCCTCCAATTGTCGCCCGCCTGCCGGCTGCTTTCCTCACTTGACTTCCAAATTAACTTTTTATTTTCCTTTGTGTGTCATGAGAGATGGAAATGAGGCTGCGAATGGCACCGACGGAGTCGGATGTACGTGAATTGAGACACAGCAGATGTTTGGTGAACTTTTGAGTCGGACAAACTCAATGAGATACAGCAACTGTAAAACTTAAAATGAATTACAACCTTCGTAAAACGCCATTAAAGTTAGTTCAACCAACTTGTTAATTCAACTCTACATTTGACTTGAGTAAAATTTAGGAGAACGTCTGTGAGAATGAAGTTGCATCTACTGCTTAGGTCATTTTCTTACATTTAAAGCCAGCTCTTTTTTTAGGCAGGTATTCTGTATAAATCCACTCACTCCTCCTCCAAAATGTTGTAACGGCACCTGACTGGAAAATGAGTGCCACCAGCTGTTTATCACAATGAACCATCTGGGAGTGCATCTGCATGAGCATCAAACTTTTCAATTTGTCCAAAGTTTTATAATAGGCATTTTTAATAGGAAATAATGTGTAGTTGAGACCTTGGTGTCCCTTACAATTAATGTATATGAGCAAGTTTACATGGGTCTTTTTGGATTAGGATTTTTTTAGCTGACAATCAAGCTTTTCATTTATTTATATATTTATTTTGTGACATAACAGCTTTATGTGCATCATATATCATCTCTTAAAGGGTTACACACTCACACACAGCTGATCCATTCTGGTGGAATGCTATCATCCTGTATGATATTTGGATTTATTACCACATGGCAGGGCTTCTCTTTATGAGTCGTCTCTACGCCTGACTTGTGAGAAGAGAAAGTATGAGAGCGCCATCTGATAAAAGCTTTATAATCATCTGCAGTGGCTGAATGAACATAATGGCTGGTCTCTGCCCATCCAGCCGACCGGTACACAGGCGTGAGCATGACAGTGAGGACACTAAGTCAACGCCTGCCGGGCCGGATTCACTTTGATGTCTCTGTGTTATTGTCCATGTCAAGGTTATAAAAAGGGTGGGGGTCAAAAATTATGATGCATGCAGTGTTGTCAAATCATGAAGGTGAATACTACAGTGTGGATGGATGGATCATGGATGGTGCACGTGGCTCCCTCCATCCCTTGGTGCTTTTATAAGACTGTCTTTATCCTGGGTGAGATAACCCAGTTAAATAGATAGCATGAAACACGGAGCCTCCACAGGTCCAGTTGAACTGAACCAGTCACAGACACGAAGAGATGTATTAGATATTCTGAATGTGGATATCTGCTGTTACTAAAGCCCATAAACAAACTGGGGTTTTCATCCCAAGGTCAATTTCTGTTTCACATTCAAGTCTCCATCCTCCATCCTGTGACACCCACCCACACCTGGAGACACATACACACACACACACACTCAGAGAGAGAGGGGTGGGTACACGTCACTGGTGTTTTTCCTTTTGCTTTTTAGGCTTCTTAAAGTGGATTGTGGCTGTCAGTAGCGCTCAGGGAAGCTTCATTAGTCGTCAGAGGGAGGCAAGGCTGTGACTCATGCCTGCGTGAAGAGACCAATGGGCAGCCGGAGCCTCATATAAATAACGAATAAAAAAGATTCTTGAGGGAGAAAGGGTCACTTGCGCGCCGCTGGATGGGATTTTATTAGTGCTCCTCGTTGGTATTCCGCCGTCGCCGCCACTGGACTGCTTCTTGTCGCGCCTTTGGGTGGCAATTGTAACATCTAGTTATAGTTTCTCTGGACTCGACAACCTGTGCGCCCGTGAGCCGGTAAGATGCCTCCTCTTTTTAATTTCAGCTGCGCCCTTCACATCCATGTCTTTGTGGACGGACAGGTGATTGTTGATCATAACGTCGGAGTTATTTTTGGGAGAAAATGTTATTATATTAATTAGAAAAAAAAAAAAATCAGCTATAATTCGCAATGTCGTTTGAGAGAAATTAGTCCCAGGTGAGTGGCGGAAGGAATTCATTAGTTGTCTAGTCTGTCTTTCATATCATGGTGACATTGAGTGATGATAGTGAGGGAAATGCTTGTTCAAAGCGGAACTTAATTGAAATGTCGATTGCTGAGTCAATAGGTGAATGACGTAACCTATGTGGTCATTATAGTTACATATGATCAATATTTGTTTAATAAATCAATCTTGTTTAAAATGTGGATGGTCAAGCTTTTCTTTCATCTATACATTTGATTTTTAACATTTGATTTTTTAGCATTTGACTCTTAATAACTGTCACGATGAATGTGTCTGTTTTAATCTCGTTTTTCTTCCTTAGAAATATCAGCTTTTGTTTGTTGTGGTTCATCACAGACACGCTCGTAGATTTTAAGGGTCTGGTGCCGCTTTGCCAAAGACTGTCAGAGGAAAAAAAATGTCAGTTTTGCTCCAGTGAGCCATAAGAACTTAATGTAACCAGGGAATCTATTTATATATTCAGCTCCCTGGTAACTTTTATTGTTCTCTTTATTCTTCTGGCGATTAATGTCCGATACAATGGACATTTAATGGAAGAAATATAGAAGCTATCTCTAAATAGACATTATGTTATCACCAAAAGTATTTATCCTGATGTGCTTATTGCTTGTGCGTCGCGCGCAATCGTCTCCAGATTGTGCGCCTTGATTCACAGCCCACTCAGATATCCTTCGGGAATAAATCGTTCCTGGCGACGCACAGTGGATAACATCAGTTTGTGATCAAACCCCGGCCTGCCTATTAAACTGACTACAATCATTCAAATACACAGCCCGGTACAGACCGGGCCATTTCTAACCGTGGACCGTTTTGTTTGCAGTTGAATTATTTCCCAGCTGGAGATCAGATAATAGAGGACTGATGGCCACGTCTGAACCGAGAGCCAGCGGCGGGGACCAGGACCCCAACTCCGCCAATTTAAGACCTCCGTCCACAAGTAGGTCCTCACACTCCTGCCTCTGTGAATAACACCGATGTCCTACATCGATCCCCCGGGGTAAATTCTCGTTAGGGCCGTTCCTCTGCGGAGCGCTCAGGCTACAGCCCACGAAGCAGACAAGGACTCGGTGCCTTGCTCAGAGACACTTCTGCAGTGCAACCTATTGCCAACACACACCTCTCTCTGCCGCTGCCTGCCTCTGTCTGACTCTCCCTCTCCCTCTCTCTCTCTCGCTCTCTCTCTCTCTCCTCCTTCTCTGTCTGATAAAAGCGACTCTCTCCCGGGCCATTTGCTGTGTGGGCTCCGTCGTTAATCATTCCGGTTAAAAACAGAGCCATCACAGCTGCCTGTCGCTGTCTGGAGGATCAGCGGCGCGCACCGAGCGGTGGACGTGGCTCAGAAATAATGCGCCATTAAGGCAATGATATTTATAATGACCCAAAAGCGTATAGTGATAATGTCTTTAGAATAAATATGCATTTTGATATCAAAAATAAATCCTCATTTGAATATTTTGGTCTGTTTTCTGGCACCCGCGCTTTAGTTTTCTGCGTTTGAATAAAGAGTTTTCAAACGATTTCGACAGATTTTTCAAAATAAATTAAAATAACTAATTTTTTTTAATTATAATGATTTATTCTTGTCATAATTCGTTTTACCTGGTTTTCCTGAATGTTTCAGGCCTCCCGGCTGCAGATGAGTTAGTGTTGGACAAATTTTATGCTGCTCTTTTTTTTTTTAATGACTGAACCTATTTAGGTAAAGCCTACATGAACCTATGGGTTAATTAATCATTTTAAGCCTTTGTCGCATTCACTATATCGACTCCATTATAGTGCACTTGAGCAGCCATCTGCAGTGCAACGCTGGGAAATAATTACAGGTTTTTGTCTTCAGCCAAATATTAAAGGAAATGGTCTACAGATCCTGAGGGCCAGTTTAATTTCAGATTTTTTATCTCTATCAAATTAAATATGTTTGAATCTTTTATTTATCTGTGGCCCTTGGGTTTCAATAGATGTTTCTTATCTTAAAACATTATTTCGAAATGTGAATTTGTAGGCTACTGAAAAAAAAGCCCATTAAAAGGAAGATGTTTGTTTTGTCTGACTTGCTCGTATACTGCTGCTGGATGTTGCCATTATCTCTCTGCCACGCTCCATCTCACGCCTGGCGGCTTCTAGTGTCTGTACTTGCGTGTGCGTGCGTGCGTGCGTGTGTGTGTGTATCCGTGTGTGTGTCTTGGCCTCAGCGCCTCGAGCTGTTCTCCGGCTTCTCTCAGAGTGAAATTGCCTCAGTAAATTTAAATACTTGTTTTTGTTTTGAAAGTTTTCCATCAGGTAGCGACTCTCGCCGCTTCGCTCTGCCTCTGCTGCCGCCGTGCGCTCTGCATTTGATTCCCTCTGGCTTCTGCTCCATCTCTGCTCACGCATGTCCACGCTCGGGTGTGTGTGGTGTGTGTGTGTGCGTGTGCATGACGTGTGCACACTAAAGCCTACTATAAGTTTCTGCATCAAGCCTGCTATAGACTGCCCGGCCACAGACATTACCAGCTCGCTCCAGTCACATACTGTGTTTCACTCAATTAATTTCTGCCCTCCTCCGTGAGCTCATTTCACGGGTGTTAATTTCAGTCCGCCCCTTGGCTGGGTGTGTGAGCCGGCGTGGATCTGCCGCTCGGGCCACTGTTGGTCCCTATTGATTAAACTTAAATCGGAAATGTTATAAGACTCATCCACTTATGATCAGGGTGTTGTGGTATAGCTAAATAAAAAAAAGTGGGTACATTCTCGGTCAACAAAGGCAAACACCTTCCATATGGATGTAAAAACAAAAAAAAGCCCTCACCTGTGAGTGTTCAGCATCACACACCTGGCCAAGAGCCGTGCGCATCACGCCTCCACTGTGCTCACTGTGCTCCACCAGCTTTACATCCATCATCCGCCTCTATCCACGCTGTGTCCGCGGCCTGAACATGAGAAACTCAAACGTTCATTCTGTTTTAGCCAACGAATACGCGTGGATGCACGGATGCACGCGGAAACTGGGGATGAAGATTTGTGGTAAGTTGTTTTGGAGGGTCTTGGTGAAATGCCATATTTGTTCCACTCACTTATTTCACATCTTAGAAAAATGCTGTTTGGGAAGAATCAGATTTTTGTGGCATCTGTACATGTCACCTACAGACTTTATTACCATGTGAATCCTTCGTATTGAGGCTGTGAGTTTTGCCTCTTTTGCTTTTTAAATTTTCATCATCATCTCGCTGTTATAATTTTTTTTCTTTTACCCGTGTTGAGGCCTTCTGAAATAGGCCGTGATACAGGCTGTTTACAGAGCAGGGCCATCCACGACTGTCACTGTGCGTTCCCATCTTCTAAAGGTCAATGGACATTAGCCTGTAGGTCTGGTGATGAGAGCCCCGGATCAGACCCTGAACCCCCCCCCGTGCCTTTTCCATTTCATCAGTAGGAGGAAAATCCACAAGACAAGCCTGGAAATATAGGTTTTAAAGCCCAGACCGTCCTTTAAATTAAATGGAGTGTTTTCATCGTTCACATATTTCTTGAGTGACATTTATCTGAATGCCAATCAGTGCAGCCTTACTGTCTCACTGTGAGAGGCGGATGTGACGTGGCAGGGAAGGCGTGTTTACTTCTCCATTTGAAGGAACCTGTTTCTTTCAGTGACTTAAAAATGAAAATCCATGGATAATATTTTGCACCTACACAGCTGGAGATGAATGCCGTGCAGACATGATCCATTCTTACAGGATGTTATTGGCCTGTTTGTTATGGCAGAAATCAATTAAGACCAAAGGATCGAATATGTTTGATATTGCCATTTCTGAGAATGAGAAATTGACCAGTAGACTTTGATTGGTCTAAATGACATTTTAATGGACTGGAAATGGGATGGAAATATTTCTATGATATTTCTGTATGAGGTTCTCAGATATTGATTTTGAATCATGCCGTTTGGGATTTAATGAAGAAGATATTATAGAGTTTCCAGTGAAAATATAAGAGACATAATATTTCATAGCTTACAGATCATAGTGTCACTTCCACTTGTTTTGCGCACAATTAGGCGCAAACATTTCTCTGCAGATGCAGAGGGCCTATATGCAGAGCACTGATCGATCATGGTGTTCAACACATACACTTCAGGCAGACTGCCGCAGGGCTGTGTACATCCTTCATTAACCCCTCTTTATGGGATGTGATGTGTATTTATTGGCTGCATGGGTCATCACCGCGGGCTGTCCTGCTCACTGAGCCGGACAGTCTGTGTGGACAGGAGGGTGCTTCCTGACCGGGGTGTGGTTGTGATGTCACAGGGTGGGGTGATCACCCCAACGCCTCTTGCTTGTGTGTGTGTGTGTGTGTGTGTGTGTGAGTGTGTGTGTGTGTGTGTGTGTGTGTGTGTTCATATGAGGCTTATATAAGTTTGGCCTCCACCATAAACTCATTGTGATGAAAGAATTAAAAGAATTAGGAGCTGACTTTATTTAAAACTGATATTTTTTCAAAAGCTGCCTTACCACCTTCATATTTATAAATATTTGGACTTTAATTAGCCTTATAATAACATCTCTTTTATTTATTTATTTTTTATTTTTATTTTTTTAAATTTGCATCTGTTTTGTTCCCATAATTTCGTCTTTTTCTTTGTGTGTGGGATGGAGATGTTTGGTGATAACTCCTGCCCTCCGCCGTGTAACACCCTAGGGTTCCTGCAGAAGAACAACAGTCTGGAGGAGAAGGGGAGGCTCGCGGGCCAGAAGAACTTGCTCTCGTGCGACAACAGTGACAGGGACGCGCGCTTCCGTCACACCGAGACCGACTTCTCCAACCTGTTCGCCAGAGGTGAGAGCTACACCTGAGCTATTTCACCAAACCCAGCTACGTGGAAAAAGACCAATGCTAATATCTAATGCTTTACTAGAGGCTCGTTATTTCAAATTTAATTGACTTCCGGTGCTTTTTGTCAAGATAAAGGTTTTAAAGGCGAAAAGATCCAGAATGTCTTCAGTTTTTTCACTGTTATCCTTTTATTGATAATGTAAGCTGCGACATTGTTAGCCTCTTATATTGATAAAGGCCTATATATATATATTATTCATTTATCAATATATATCCAATTATATATATACATATATATTTATATATATATATACTGTATATATAGATAATTGGGCCAATATCTGGAAAAAGAAGCAGCTTTAGTGTTAAAAACGTATGCTGGGTTGGGATATATGATTTTTTTTGTCTCTGAAAATTAAAAACAATAACTCATACACCACTTTTTACTTCAGGGAGATTATCCTAAGGTTCTTTCTGTAAAGTCTGTAATGAGTATTAATTGTTAAGAGGTTGTAAGATCGATGAACCAGAATTTATGACCATATAAGGAGCTGTTACTCATGGGATTAGGCTCCTCGCATCCTATATTATAAATATGACCTTATTCGACCAGAATAATTAGGCTAGTATATTAGACCAACCTAAAAACCCTGTAGAAATGAATAAATGCCAATGTCTCTAATGATTAAATGCCGAGAGACTCTTATCTTGGCAATAGGAGGCCTCCAGTACAGGCCCGGTGTTTATATTCAACACCCAGCCTGAATTTCCACCGCCTGTCCCTTCACCTCTTAGACCTGCTGCCCGCCAAAAATGGAGAAGAGCCTACCATACAGTTTTTGTTGGAGGTGGTCGACATCCTCACTAACTACGTCAAGAAGACCTTCGACCGCTCCACCAAGGTGCTGGACTTCCATCACCCTCACCAGCTGCTGGAGGGCATGGAGGGCTTCAACCTGGAGCTGTCCGAGCAGCCCGAGTCCCTGGAGCAGATCCTGGTGGACTGCAGGGACACGCTCAAATATGGCGTCCGGACAGGTAGGACAGGGCACCTTCAACGCAGAGCTGCACCTGGGATGGGTTAGGAAAATCACTTCAACTGTGGCCTTTTGAATAATTCATATAGTGTCGTGTGTTATTTTAAATAGCAAAAGGACAGTATGGAGACAAAAGGCAATTAACCTTTTTACTCTCTCTGTTCAAAGTAGGCATTATTTATTTATTTTATTTCATACCAACATATAGTCATATACAAATTATTATCCAAAACAAAATATAATATTCGCGCTCGAAAATTGCTTTACAGTAATTTTATATTTACATCTCCAATAATAGTCCTATAATCTATGAGTAGCTACAATTGACAAAAAAAGTGTTCGTTTTATCTCTTTCATGTAAATGAATACTGACAGTTTTACTGTGCAGAGGTGAATTCAACACAAATCATTAGGGAAGAAGCTGTTTTCCAGATAGTATACAGCTTATTACGATGACTGCTTTATTTATTGTCCCCCTGGTAATTCAGTTGACATCCTCCTTTTCTTTCCCCCTCGACTTATTAAAGCGAGTGTCGCCTGAGGGGGGATCCTAACACGGCCTGTTTCAAGCTGTTAAAAACGACAGCGCTCAAACTGTCTCTTGGGGTTTATATATGAAGCAGTTTCCACTGTGTCGACAACTCAACACTTTTCATACGTGTTTTCTTTTTCTCTCTCTGTGAGATCTGACTGGAGGAGCTGTCCGCGGTGCTGAAACACGGAGCTAATTTTTTCTTTTCTTCTCGTCAGTTTATTTAAAATAGGCTCAATATTAGATTGTTTTTTTTCTTATTTAGTATTCTTGTTTTAAGAGTAACTCAATAAAGCTTACATATTATGAGTTATATTATATGTGAGGCACACAACATTACATCCACAAGGTGCTTATATATCCATGACTGCATTTAGGCTCCAGGCCTATTGTGTGTGCAAGCACCTCAGAGTCTAAATGGCTGTCACACAGCCTTGTTACCAGTGTAATTATGGTGCACTGAACAGGCTATGTCAGATCCCTCAGGTTTCATGGTTGACCAAGGGGATACAAAATGAACCCAAAATGATTATGAATGCTCATATTGTTTTTAAATGATTAGATTACTTTCACAACTAGATTTATGTGGCCAGCTTTACCCAGCAGGGCTTTGTAGTTATTATACAGAATGCTTCATAAAGTCTTTCTTATTTGTTTCTCTTTATAAAAATCACAATTCTCCTATTAAGACAGGATGTGTATGTTTTTTATGTTTAGGTCACCCGCGCTTTTTTAACCAGCTGTCTTCTGGTCTTGACATCATTGGTCTGGCTGGAGAGTGGCTCACCTCCACCGCTAACACCAACATGTAAGTCCTACAGTACACTGCTCCCTTTGTTTGTGTGACACAGTTATCTATACAGGGGGAACACCTCTACATGTCACGAGAGGACAACTGAGATTTCCTGTTTGTAGGACACAGGAAATAGGACCCAGTCATCATCATATAAAGTCATTATGGAAGACGCTTATGGTGTTTCCCCTCAGCTCACTCCACCATTGGTTACCACATCCTCTGAGGGCAGTTATATAAAGTGTTTAGTTTGTCCTGTAGAGACTTTGTGTTGACAGACGGTGGGCTGCAACTGTGTACTGTATATCGGAGGCAGCCCAGCCCCAGGGGTGGTTAGATTGCATATTGATCTCAGCTCACAGTTACATGGTGGCCCAGCCTGATAGAGGGCACCAACCACATCAACATCACACACTCGCAACACTCGCGCACACACACACACACACACAGACTCAGACGCATGTTGTAAATAAGATATAACTCTGTGATCACAAGAATAGAATGAGAAACATCATAGTAAAACTACTTTACAATATCTGAACACTCACACACACATTACACACACATTACACACATAGTAAAACTGCTCTGTCAATTTATTCTGAGTGGAGGAATGAATAAATCTGTCATTTACGTTGATTTCCTCACTCTGAGCTAAGGCTGCAACTAATGATTATTTTCATTATCAATGAATCTTCCAATTATTTTCTTGATTAAGATTTAGATTAAGATTATTTGTTCCATTTATAAAATGTCACAATTTCCTAAAGCCTAAGATGACATCATCAAATGTTTTGCTTTGTCTGACCAACAGTCCAAAACCTGTAAATACTTAAATTATTACTAAATAAGACAAAAAGCAACCCATCCTCAACAATTTAGATGCTGAAACGGGGGAATTTTTGGCATTTTTCCATAAAAAAAAAAAAAAAAATCAATCAATTGAATAACTATCTCAGATCTCTTATGTATGAAAAATCAGAGCATGACAGGGTCATGACACGTGTCACAGTCACTGAGCTACAGACAGACAGAAGACAAGAAAACTCACATAACAACAATTTAGATAAAGATCCAAAGCAGAATCAGTCACTTAAATACAACAAATCTGCAGTTTGCCTTGACGACACTGATGTAGAGACGTGTTGACATCCCAGAGTTTCACGGTACAATCTGACGTGGATCTGCAAAGACAGCAGGACCGATGCATTGCACAGAATAAACAGTGGGAAGAAGACAATAGACCCCAGTCCATATACATGAAATGGGTATTCAGTATTGTCCTAACTGTTGTGGCCACTGTCTTTTCTACTAAGGATAATAAACCAAAAGCTGAAGGAAAATTGAGACACTTAATTTATCCCATTTCTCAAAACATTAGCTCAGGAACCCACCCCCTCTTAGGAAAAACTTTCCCATCTCATCTCCTGGTTGGAAGAATGCCCCAAGAGACAGGCCATTGAATTCACACACACACACACACACACTCATGTACGCTTTCATAATGACTCTCTCACACACACACACACACACACACACACACACACACACACACACACCAGCTCTGGCTGTCCCAGATACAGCAGCTAAGGTTTCCAGTCCATTGACTGCAGGCTCATTGTGAGCTGGTCTTAGCAGATAGGCCAGCTGGGCCCCACACTGACACACAATGTCCTCCGGCTGCACAGAAAACCCTGTCACACTGTGGAAACTGACTGCTGCAGCTCCCCGTGGAGTGCTCATTCTGGCTCTATTGTCCCTGTGGATACAGACTGACTCAGTGGTCCTTTTAGAGGCTGAGAGCAGAGCGTGGTTGGGGGTCAGAGGGTTAGTCACATAGAGACACACGCACACACGCATTCAAACACAGACTCATACACATTGAGTGCCCTTGATGATGATAATAAGGGCATTTAGGGGTTGTCCCCGGAGAGAGGCAGGTGACTGAGGGGTAATTTTCACCCTGAAAAGACCAATGATTGGCTCTGATTGTGATAATGATCACCATTATTGTCATTACAGCGTGAAATGACTCACGGAGAGAAGGAGAATTTTAAAAAGGTGTACTGGTTTGGTTCTTTTTCTGATGTGGCTGGCATAAATTTTAAGAGAAAATGAAAGTGAGAAATCCAGGATATTAAATATTTTTGAGCTCCTTATATGAACCATAATTCCAATATCTAAAGCAATATGATATTTCTGAAATTAGGGCAGTGAGAGGCTGCGGAGTGAGACATTTTGTCTTCCTTGTGATTTTATCTCCCGTTGTGGCTGTTCATGGTCAAAGCCCAGCAGTCATAATCTGGTCCGGTGTATTGACTAGAAGCTAATGTTCCAATCAAATCCATCCCGTGGGCTCGTCCTCACCGGGCATAATTACACAAGAAAAATGTCTGTCATCTATTTTTCTTCATCTTTATGTTTCTCTTTTTGTCTTCAACCATGGCTGTCGCTCTCTTTTCGTCTTGTTTTCTTCTCTGTACGCGTTCCTCGCTCTGCTTCCACATCCTCCCCTCCTCTTCTTTTGTTGTCCTCTGTCACAGTTTCCTTCAGTGCATTGTTTCCCCACAGCCCCCAGTCCTCACAGCTTTTATCTCCCCTCCTTTCTATCCTAACTACAAAATGCTTCAGTCCTCGTTTAGATACCTACTTGTAAAGAAAAGGAACGAGAGGAACTGAAGAGGAGAGGAGATAATGTTGTTTTAGATGGTGGTGGCTGATGGAAGTGGGGGAGTGTTGTGTAACTGGCCTCATTAGAAGCAGGGTAAACAGGGATCAGTCCTAAGGGTGTGTGTGGGAGGTGGTGAGACGGCCTGTCAGTTAGCAAAGAGAGCAAAAGCTCAAGCTCTCTGTGACACATTTAACCTACTTTATCTCCTCCAGGAGTTTTGTTCTTGGGTTTTCTATAGAGCCACCAGTCATTTTATCTTTTGTCGAGAGGTTAGACACACAGCTACCGCTTTTTAAAAGCTGTTTTCTGTCTCTCTTCTTCTTGTGTTTTGAAGATTATTTTCTGTCTTTTAATCTTTTCCTTTCTTGTAATGACAGAATAAAATTAATAATCCTGCTCTCTTCCTCAGTTCCTGTATTTTGGGGCCAGCAGAGGCTGTTATCTCTTTAAAACACTCTCTCTTCCTGTCTTCTTCTCTCACACACACTCACACACACACACTCACACACAAACACACATTCACGTCCTCTCAGCCATCAAATCAGCCCCATTCAGGCCCCACTGAGATTGGCAGGACTGACAGATAGCCATCAGAGCTTTGTGTGCTTTAATTAAACTACTGAGTGATTTTAGGAGGCATTTGAATATTAATGTTTGCTGCTCAACTCCTATCAGACACTTTTTAATTAGCCCAGTCAGCACAAGCTCCAGTTTGTGCTCTGTGGATGGAATTATAACAGAGCTAATGAAAAACCAGTGTGTGTGTGTGTGTGTGTGTGTGTGTGTGTGTGTGGTGTGACTGTATTTGGATTTTCTAATCTGCAAGTGCAAAGTGCAAAGCAGTTGTTAATAGCTCATCTGTTGCAGTGATGTTGAATGACATGTTATATTCATCAGTTCTGCGACATGATTGACAGGTTCACCTACGAGATCGCTCCGGTGTTCGTGTTGATGGAGCAGCTGACTTTGAAGAAAATGAGAGAGATGATTGGTTGGCCAGACGGAGAGGGAGATGGACTCTTTTCACCAGGTTGGTCTATTATAACAGCATCCATTTCCATATATTGTAATATAGTTACTTCTCAAAAAACATGAAGACTACTGAGTCGTATCAGTTTTGGTAATAATACTACAGTTGTGTGCGTTCTACTGTCCGTGGTGCTGATGTTTCTGTCTCTACTCAACAGGGGGCGCTATCTCCAACATGTACAGTGTCATGATCGCACGTTACAAGTATTTCCCAGAGGTCAAGACCAAGGGCATGTCTGCTGCTCCCCGCCTTGTCCTCTTCACATCTGAACATGTAGGTCACCATGAACAGACACATACACACACACACACACACACACACACACACACACACACACACACACACACACACACACACACACACACACCATTTTAAAGGTCCCATATTTCACTCTTTTTTATTTATTTGTGTTTTATTTGAAGTGTTGTCCCATAAGAAGATATATTTGTGATTTTAAGAACCAGAAACCATCTCAATGTAGTTTTAAATCTCCTCTCTCAGGCTTCTCTCTGGAGCTCTAGTAACAACAGGTCAGTGAGCCAATCAGAAGAGAGTACGCTCAGAGCCTCTCCTCTGATTGGCTCACTGACCTGTTGGCAGATTTCAGGTAAAACACTCAGAAAAACCAAATCCTGCAAGGTTAGATGGTGGGGCTTGGGGCGTGGCTGAGGGCGGTGACTGCTTTGTCGTGACATCACAAAGTTACAGAAGTCCTTATGGCTCGTATTAAGGCTCAGTTTCTGAACACAGGCTGTGTGCATTTCTCTGTGGACTGAGCGCTTTGATACTCTCACAGTATTAATATAGAACCTAGACCTGCTTTATAATAAAAAAAAGACATGGACATCTGCTTGATACAATATGGGACCTTTAAATATTCTCATAAAGTAGGCGCCATGCTTCACTGACTGTAGATTGAGGCCATTGAAAAAGTCCTGTAGTAATCAGTAGGTCTATCTGAATCAAGGCAATGACTATTTTTAAGGATTCTTTTTGCTTTTATCACGTCTACTTGTGTCTATAAAGAGCTGCACAGTTGACAACATATCAGCCAGTAAGACAAAAGCTCATGTAGCAGTTAGCTCACAAATCTCTACACTGCTTGAATTTAGCTGTTATTTCACGGGCCAATGAATTATTGTCCTAATGTGTGTTCCCCTCAGAGCCACTACTCCATAAAGAAGGCAGGAGCTGCTCTGGGCTTTGGCACTGAGAATGTGATCCTGCTGAGCACAGATGAGAGGTACGGGATCCGCATTAGAAATTTAACACAACAATCAGTATAGAAACTGTGTAAAAACAGTGTCATAGAGTCATGATACACATGCACTGCTCTGCACTCTTTCAGGGGGAGAGTCATTCCTGCAGATCTGGAGGCCAAGATCATTGATGCTAAACAGAAGGTCGGTATCTTTCTTATTTTCTTTTGCTTTCATTTCACCAAGTTTCTGTCCCTCTAAGTTGTGTTCGTGTGGTGACTCTGCAGGGGTACGTGCCGTTGTTTGTGAACGCCACCGCTGGTTCAACTGTGTACGGTGCATTTGACCCCATCAATGAGATCGCTGACATCTGTGAGAAGTACAACTTGTGGCTCCATGTTGATGTAAGTAGCTGACACTGGGTCAGTAGCTGTAGTATTTTCATAGAAGCAGTTCTATCAGGGGATACTATGTCCTTGTCTGTGTAGCCTTATGTAACACTAACTGTCTTGCATCCTCAGGGAGCGTGGGGTGGTGGACTGCTGATGTCCAGGAAGCATCGCCATAAGCTGAGTGGAGTCGAGAGGTTAGTACACAGTGATAGATGGACTGTTGTTTAAAGGGAACTCTCGGTGAATCTGCATCAGTACAATTAACTCATATATTAAACTCACAGGGCCAACTCTGTCACGTGGAACCCGCACAAGATGATGGGCGTGCCTCTACAGTGCTCTGCCATCCTGGTCAGAGAGAAGGTACAGTAACGACACACACACACACACACACACACACACACACACACAGTTTCTCTTGGTACTAGCACTCCATTAAGTTTTACCTTGTGCTAACATTCCCTGAGCAGAAGAGTGGATGGAGGTGAAACATAGTGTGGACTTTGTGTTCGTCTGTAGGGAATCATGGCGGGCTGTAACTCCATGTGCGCTGGCTACCTGTTCCAACCAGACAAACAGTATGACGTCACGTACGACACAGGGGACAAAGCCATCCAGTGCGGTCGACATGTCGACATCTTCAAGTTCTGGCTCATGTGGAAGGCCAAGGTGAGATGGAGTGACACATATAAACACGTATATCGGCCAAACTGTAAATTGTTCTTTAACCAACGTGTAAAACTGTCTTTAACCTTCGTTGTGTTAATCCGAACACATGCTATAGGTTTATACTCAGTGTTTTTTGTTGTAATCGTTGCCTTACCAACTTTTTCCTGCTGCAGGGCACCATCGGGTTTGAGCAGCACATTGACAAGTGTTTGGACCTGTCTCAGTACCTGTACAACAAGATCAAGAACAGAGAGGGATATGAGATGGTGTTTGATGGAGTGGTGAGCTTCTCAAATTTTCTATTCTATCAATGTCAAATGAAACGATAAGGAAAATTCAATATTATATCTTTTTTGTTTAATAAGTAATACCAGCATGACAGAAAAATATTTTGGGGAATTAACCAACAAGAACACATTTCATTTTATGAGCTGTAATTAAAATTATGTTCATTTTTTAAAAAACATTTTAAAGGTCCCATATTTTGCACTGTTTCATTTGAAGTGTTGATCCATAAGAAGATATATTTGTGGTTTTAAGAACCAAAAATCCTCTCAGTGTAGTTTTACATCTCCTCTCTTGGGCTTCTCTCTGGAGCTCTACTAACAACAGATAGGTGAGCCAATCAGAAGAGAGGAGGCTCTGAGCCTCTCTTCTGATTGCCTGACTGTTTTTAAAGTAATCCTATAAAATTATAGCAGATTTCAGGTAAACACTCAGAAAAAGGGGCGTGGCTGAGGGCGGTGACTGCTTTGTTGTGACATCACAAAGTTACAGAAGTCCTGACAGCTTGTTATAAGGCTCAGTTTCTGAATACAGGCTGTGTGCATTTCTCTGTGGACTGAGCGCTTTGATACTTTCCCAGTATTAATATAGAACCTAGACCTGCTTTATAATAAAAAATGGCATGGACATCTACCTTTATACAAAATGGGACCTTCAGCCCTGTTACAGTATTTCTCTTGCTCTCTTTCCACTACCTCCATCCTTCTTTATTTTCTTTTTGTTTGGTATAAATGAAAAAAAAAAAAATCATATGCTGTGTGTTTATAAATTGAGTTAATTGTTCATTTCTGTCCGTAGCCCCAGCACACCAACGTTTGTTTCTGGTACATACCACCCAGCCTGAGAGGCATGCCAGACGGCGATGAGCGGCGAGAAAAACTCCACAGGGTACAACACCTGTCATTTCTGCCCATCTTTTCAATCATGCACCCGATGGACGATGTTCTTACAACTATTACTATTTCCACCAGGTGGCGCCAAAGATCAAGGCCATGATGATGGAGTCCGGGACCACCATGGTGGGCTACCAGCCTCAGGGCAATAAAGTCAACTTCTTCCGCATGGTCGTCTCCAACCCCGCGGCCACCCAGTCTGACATCGACTTCCTCATTGATGAGATTGAGAGGATGGGTCACGACCTGTAGGCCTCGGCCATCACCGCTGCCTGGAGGTCTTTTATCTGTTGTATTTCCAGTGAGGTGAAACATTCACAGTGCTGCAGACGGAGTAATGATAGGACGTGTTTCAGGTTCTTTCTATCTGGTCTATCTCTGCCTGAAGCATTTTGGTTGTTTCTCCAGCTGAAGAGAAACTAGCAATGAGAGAGACTTTGAGTTTCTTACTAACTCTGTCCCACATAGTTCCTCCTATAGACAAAATATATAAACCAGTATCTGAAAGCTCCAGGTACAACAAACATGCTCTACTGTGTGTGTGCGCTGTGGATTCTTGTTATGTGTGTTTGCGTGTGTGTGTGTAATCTAGTTTCTCGTCCAATGTAGTTTGTCTTTGTCTCTGTGTGTGTGTTTGTGTGTGTGTGTGTGTGTGTGTGTGTGTGTGTGTGTGTGTGTGTGTGTGTGTGCGTGCGTGCGTCTGAGTGTGTGTGAATCTGATTAAACAACGAAAGGGAGAAAAGCACAGATCACAATATTACAAAGTATCATAAATTATTCTGCTGTATCATACATTTGCTACACACAATTGAATCATTGGTGCTTTCAGCTGTATATATATTTAATCTTTAGTGCACCGACCTACTTGTCCTAAACCAGTGTCCGAGCCCCTGAAGCAGTGTGTGTATGTGTGTGTGTGTGTGTGTGCAGGTGAGCATGTGGCACACTGAGTGTATCCTGTCATGTATTTTAGGCTTTAGGCCACTGTGTTAAAAATAAGCTAACGTGCACACCATAGATACCAAGTGTGTTAAACTGAGAGATTTTAGCTAACCTACAGCAACTGATCCACAGTCTGCAATATTTTCCCTCGTAGAAGTTTAAGATTAAGATTTTAAATGTCTACAGCGATCCCACGTCTGTGACAACCTGTAAAACGCTGGCTCGTTGTCTGTTTCATGCAATCATGTGATGCCCATATGTGTTTCTAACATTGTTAAAATATGGATATTTGATTATATAAGAACAAATATTTATTGCATTTCCACTGTTTGCAGATTCAGGTATTTTTTTGTAAATGTATCTGTGTATTACATCGTAATACATTTGTAAATGTAATCACAGGAACTTAAGTAAAGTTTATTTATAGTGATTTTGTCAGCCAAAGAAAGAGAATCGGGAACAGAGCAATCCATCGTCCTTCATATATAAGTTCTTATAGATTATAGGTGTTGTTATCAAAATGTTACCTATTGACCCTCGACTGCGATGCAATTTCTATGGTGTGTTTCTTTCTGTGATTGTGAGTCTTTTTGACTGAATGTTTTGAGATGACTGACTGGCCTTCTGGTGAGATTAAGAATGAAGTCTATATAATCCTCTGGCAGTTGTGCTGGTCTTTTATTTTAGAGAGAAGCACAAGGATGTGAGAATGTACTCTCCTCTCGAGACTGGGAAGAAAGGATTGTTGTATCTGTCTGAATCCTAATGCATTTACTGTAATATAGTATATTAATTGTAAAACATATTACCTGTATTCTCAGTGTTATGGGAGCTCAATGGAATATCTTATATAAGGAGTTCCAGTTTGTGTCTTTGCACAATGTTCACCTTTCTTTCTTCCATTGTAAATGGATGTGTACTATGGCAGTATTATATAAGAGTTATGTTAACAAAGTATTTATGGTATCTAGGGACCATATGTGAATGGCACAATTGCATAAATCATATTTAAGGTAATCTGTGTACTGTATGTGACCAGTGACTCCTGTGTATGACCAATCCCAGATGTAAGGGAACGTTTCCCAGGAGGTTTTCAGTAGGCACTTTAACAGAATCATACCATCTCAAAAAACATCTTTAATAAAGTCTATTAAAGGGAAAACTGAGTCAGAATTATTTAAACACACACACACACACACAAAATAACTATCTGTCTTTCACATACTTATTTTGCTCTGTGGTTTCTCAAACTGCACTCTCATGAAGAGGATTTTGGTTTATGCGCCAAAATATCCCCCTCTGCCTGTGAACTGCCTCTATCAGTAGCTACACACACACATATACATTATTGCCTCCCTGCCTAATCATCCTCGAGAAGGCTTTGTTTGCCCCCCAGCTGTGTGTCGGATTGGCTGTTCTCCAGCGTGAAACCCTCCTCTCATATCAGCTCTTTCTCTCGTTTATTTTCTCCTTTTCCTCCCCCTTTCTCCTCTCTTCATCTCCTCTATCTCCTCTCCTCTACTCATCTACTGTTTTCTTTCCTCACTTTTACGCCTTCCTTACTTCCGTCTTGTCCTTAATTTCCTCCTATCCCTCCTCTCTTGCTTTTCTTCACCTGCAAATTTCTGTGGCTCAGCCTCACGAAGCCACCATTTCACAGAAGAAGAAAGGCATTGGTTACAGTATCTCATAACCTTCACATGGAGGGAATAAAAATATCAGAGGGAGGAGAGGTTGTGGATTGAAGCTTTAAGTTCTACTTTGCCGGCGACAGTGAGGATGTGATGTACTGTTACTGCCCTCTGGTGGTGACTCTCTGCCTGCACAATCATCCAATGTAGTATAACCATATTAATGAATATGAACACAAATAATGAAATGTGCACTAAGGTGTAAGAGTCTCTACTGAGTTGTTTATGATTATAAACCAACAATTGATACAACACTGCAACACAATACTTGTTATGTGGCACCTGCTGAACAGGTAAATCAGCTTTACATTAAAGAAACAAGCCAGTCCTGTCCTTATGTTCTTCAGTCAAGGAAGTATTATGGTCTGTAAACCCTGTTAAAATCATAAAACACACTCTTCCTTCATGACAAAGAGCATCTGGAGTTTTAAAAGCATTGCCCTCTGCCTCATATGTCATATGAAAAACCTATATCATACACTGTGCTTCAATACAACAACAGAAAAATACCTTCAGGAATAAAAGTATATTATAGATAAATAAACCTACCAAATATAATGCCAAGAAAATCCTGTTGCCCCTTCAGAAACTGGAGGTTTAGAATGATTACATTTAGTTTTACATTAAACATTGAGTGCACATTATTTAATAACCATGGTTCTGTTCATCTATTTTGGATTTTAGGTTCTGTATATACAGTATATATGCACTGTAGGCTATGTAGGTGTGCATTGAGTAGATTTACTTCAATAATACTAGTACAACATATTACCATAGCAAATTACACAATAATAAACTATACACATGAAATACAGACAGATATGACCTGACAGACAGATATATATTGATAGATTTAGATAGATCCAATCCATTTAACTGGTTCATGTATGTTGCTGTAAGAAAAGTGTTGATTTTTACAGTGTCAATTAGTTATAATGAACCAGCAGAGCATGACAATTGTACAATGTGCTGCATAGAGAGTTTTGTAAAGCTAAATTAGAGCAGTCAGTGATAAATAGGGGTAGATGTCACATCATTGCTTGTACTAAATAAAGCACACATTTGTCTGTAATTCTAATTAGGCAGAATGTTAGTTTATAGTTTAATTGGTAATATTAATTAAAAAATGATAATGGTTTATAATAGATTAAGTGGGGAGAGTATGGAACTGGGGTGTCCACAGTAACTATTTCAATAAAACTACATTATTGAAAATATTTTGAATTTAATTTAAAAAAGTATAAATACAACCCCTGTTTTCAGGAACACGTTAACGTTTTGTGACACCTTAACATTAAATTAGTTTAACCTTAAATTAGGAAATTTCAAAAAGGCGTTATTTCCTGCCACGTAACGGCGCATGCGCATCGCTCAGCTAGTCACTTGGCGACGTGTACCCGGTGTGTGGAAGTATTCAGGTATCTCACCTCTGCTGGGTTACAAGCTGCCATAAAACACCTAAAAAGCCTTAAAATACGAAAGCATGGGAGGATCGCAGAGTGTGGAGATACCGGGGGGAGGCTCCGAGGGCTACCACGTCCTCCGGGTGAGTTTTTGGCTTCTACATCCTGCTATTAGCTGTTAGCTGTTAGCTTAGCATCCGGCCAGAGGCGGAGCGTCCCCTGCTCTGTGTGTTAACGAGAGACCGGGGATGTCTGCCGGGGCCTCCGCCTGGTTAACACCTACACCACGTCAGGAAACTGTTGTGTGCTTTAGAGCTGGATCGGCGTCACATACCGTTTCTTCGCATGGTTTGGTTTGTCCTGCTAGTTAACCGGTTCAGTGTGTTTACCTGTGGCTAAGCGCCAGTGCTGAAGCTAGCTGAAGCTACGTAGCTGCGCTGAATGACAGTTGACAAGCTGTTTTTTTTAATACACGCATTATCGGACCGGTCTGTGCAGAATGCTTCTTTAACCTTGTCTGGCCCTATGAAAGATCTGGTGTTTGGGTTAGGGCTAGGGTTAGGTCATGGGTACACACGGCAGAGATCACTGGATGGGGTTAGGGTTAATACTGGGTGCAGGTTAAGGTAATGGAGGCACATATCAACAAAGAAAACAGTCTTCGACACAACACATTTCTTGTACGTTGATCAGCTCAGGTCCAACCTGTTCATGTTGTTTACACTGAGCATGTCAGATACTATTTCTTTACAAGGCATTCAGTAGTATGCAAAACGTGAGTGTCACACCCTAGCAGCAGCTCAGATTGTCTCTCAATTTTGTGCAGGTTCAGGAGAACTCACCTGGACACCGTGCAGGACTGGAGCCTTTCTTTGACTTCATTGTATCCATCAATAACACTAGACTGGTAAGGAAAGCCAGCAACTGTATCTAACAGGATCAAATATAAGTGGTAAGGGACAGCGTATTTCATGGTTGCCTCATCTTTCTTCTTTTTCTGCAGAACAAGGACAACGACACTTTGAAGGACTTGCTGAAAGCCAGCGTAGAGAAACCAGTTAAGATGCTGGTTTACTCCTCAAAGACTCTGGAGCTGCGGGAGTCCACTGTCACACCCAGCAATCTGTGGGGGGGGCAGGGCTTGCTTGGTGTCTCTATTCGTTTCTGCAGCTTTGAAGGAGCCAATGAGAATGTTTGGCATGTGCTGGTAGGCAGCCTTGAAATCTCATCTGTGTTTTACTGTTTTATGTGATAAAGTGGTTTTTTGTTCACGTATACTCCTCCTCTTTATTTAACAGGAAGTAGAGCCGAATTCCCCAGCAGCCCTTGCTGGCTTACGGCCGCACACCGACTACATAATTGGAGCCGACACTGTTATGAATGAGGTAGATTATCAGCATTTCGCATCCTTGCTACTGTCACTCCTTCACATTCTCCACCTGATATTGATATTGACTGTGTGTCTCCTCCTGTTGTCCGACCTCTCTGTGACTTGATCCTGCAGTCAGAGGACCTGTTCTCTCTGATAGAGAGCCACGAGGGGAAAGGCCTGAAGCTCTA